ACATTTTGTTTTCTTTGTTACTCATTATCTGAAGTGTGTGAATTTAGAATTTAGTACTTTCTAGTTCTCTTTCCTAAAAACAAATGCTCTAAAATTACTTGTATATGCTGCTAGATATCACCTTTCAGCCCCAAATTAGGGGTCTGTGGACCAGCTTACTTAACAAAAACTTTCAGTTCCTTCTCCTCTCCTGCCTCCATGTGGCCAGATCAGGTTACAGCGAGCATTTCCACTTGCTTTGGCAGGGCTGGGGTTTTAGCTTTATCTTGTTATGTGGCTCTCAGTGAGCACTGGTAGCGCACCTCTGATTAAAGATATGTAACAATTAGGGAAAATCATTATATGTTGCGGTGAATTCCGGCAAATTCATGTAGCCTTAGGGACTTTCCCCACTTAAGCAGCAAACATTTACTTATGTCAACTCAGATCAGAGGTCAGAGATGACTGGACAGTCCCTGCCTCGGAGGACTTCATAGTCTAACATGTAAACGAATACTTACAATTCAACTGTGGCAACTACACGTACTGAAGATGGAGTTACCCTACAGGAAAGTGAGACAAGGTCATTCCACTCACTAGGACGTCCACATCTCACACTTAGGGAATTTTTTTTTAATTTTTCATTAAAATAAAATATTAACAATAGATAACTTACTGACAGCTTTCTATGTGCTAAGCAAAGCGCAAAGTGCCTTACAGGAGTTAACTCCTCCACTTCTCATTCCATCTGTTATCGTGACTGTTCAGGTGGGAAAAGGAAACCTCATAACTGACAGACTCCAAATTCGCAAATCCGCTTCTTCTGAAAAAATACACGCGGCACTTTCGCGTTTATTCGCAGACCATGCGCAAAGATGTGTACATATGCGCATACGTTGTTGTTAGCTACCATGGAGTCGCCCCCTACTCAAGGCGACCCCATGCACAACAGGATCTGACCTTTGTAATCCATAGGGTTTTCACTGACTAATTTTTCAGAAGTAGATCACCAGGCCTTTTTTCCTAGTTTATCTTGGTCTGGAAGCTCCGCTGAAACCTGTTTAGCATCATAGCAACAGACAAGCCTCCACTGACAGGCGGGTGGCGGGAAAATTTGCAGTTGAAGTTGAACGAGGCTGGTTCAGTATTCCCAAAGACTTATTAGCACAAAAAACCTGTTGCCATTGACTGGATTCCGACTCATAGCGACCCTATGGGACTGAGTAGAACTGTCCCATACGGTTTCCAAGGAGCGCCTGGTGGATTCGAACTGCCAATCTTTTGGTTAGCAGCAGTAGCTCTTAACCACTACGCCACCAGGGTTTCTATTAGCACATATCTACCACCAATATGGAGAATCAACCGTATTGGCTTGAGCCAGGGTTTGAACCCAAACAGTCTGACCCCTCAGATCTTTTCTTGACCAATATTGCTATAATCTATAGGCACACAGTTATATGACTGATTCTTTGTGGAGAGACTGGGAAGACCTATTAATGATCCAGAGACAACGCTGAGATTTGAGTTGAATCTTAAAGGATAAATAAGCTTTTCCCAAGCTGACAAGGGGGGTCAGAGAGTCTTAAATAGGATCCTATTTTAACAAGGGTATCAGGATTTTGTGGAAGATGGGCAGTAAATAAACAGATGACATTTCTGGACTGTTTACTATGTGCCACACAGTGCTAAAAACTTTAGCCCATTGACCCTTTGCAGGGATCCTATGGGATAGTTACTATGCTTACTCAGAGGGACTAAGAAATTTATCCATGGTTATTCTCACAATCAAAAATAAATTCTTGGGATGAAGGGAATAAAAATGAAAGTGAGACTTCTCCAAGAATAACTTTTTATATAGTGTTGGCTTTCAAAAAACTTAAAAAGATTGAAAAAAAGCCAACTCTAAAACTGAATTATTCAGAAACAAATGAATCTACTTTTATAACAGATAACCACACAGAAATAATTAATTCAAATATTTTTTAACTCAGTACTCTGTATATCCTTAGAAGGATATACTCTAAGGACAAAAAAAGAACTGCAAAGAAATCTTGACAGCTTTACAGTTGTTACTACTAAAGGCATAGGCATTATTTATGAAACTATTCTATGTGTATGATGACAGTTAAATTTCATAAATATACGGATGTTGGGCATCTGATTTTCATTGTGTGAGGAGGGAGAATGGAGGAAGGTAAGAAGGAATGTTGTTTGAAATGGAAGTATCAATATGAACTAATAATTTTTTTAAATATATACTTGTATTGTGTCCTACTCTGTCCATTGAAAGGACCCAGAAGCCATAGCACCCCAGTATCAATGAGCACACCTAGCACCCAGCTGTCAGTTAACCAAATGCCATTCTCCATTAAAAGCAAGCAGAGCTTCTTGGGAAAATGGCTAATTCCAAGTCATAACCAGGAAAGTACTATATGATCCCAGTACATCTTAGGCCAGCAAGAAAGGAAGCACTCAAAGACTAATGAGTTATGTCCAAAGAACATAGGAACTGGCTTGAAAAGGTTAACCACTGACCAAACTGGAGACAACTTCAGAATCAAAAAGAATGATGGCATTAGACATTGAATTTTTAAAAATCTATGAATCCATAGTGATACTTAGAAAGAGAGCTATTCTTTACAGAAGATTTTTCAATAATAAATGTAAAATGAATAATATAATTAGAAAATTACCTTTTTTGCATACCCCAATGTGAAAACTGGGTTCAGGCAAGGATCATCAATGGATGCTAAAACAAATAGGTGAAAGGTTTTAGGAAAAAGGATATCTGCACAGTCTCAAAGTATTATGTCATACACTACTACTGACAAAGGGGAAAATAATTTTACAATGTAGAGATCTGGCACTCACCATCGTAACCAAGTGATTAACTCAGGATCAATGTGACATCAGGTACCCCCCTGACTTGATGCAGTAAGAACTATGCAACATCACCTCTGGTCAAATTATTGCCAGAAATGAGGAAATCAGAGATATAAGAATGTGGGGAATTCAATTTAAGACATTTGGTCTGAATTCTTTAAAAAGCCACTGACATGAAAAACAAACATAAAAACAATGGTAGGGGGACTGTTCTAACTTTAAAGAAACTGATGTGAACTTTGTTTGGATCCTGGATTTAAAAAAAAAAAGTTTATTAAATAAGTTTTGGGAAGAAGTAGGGAAAATTGAATATGACCTATATTTTGACAATTGTTGAATTATTTCTAATTTTCTTAAGTGTGATCATGGCATTGTAGTTATGAGGAAGAATGACATTCTTAGGAGATGCAGCGACATTTTTAGGTGTGAGGTCAAGATGTCTGCAACCTACTTCCAAATGGTTCAACAAAAAACAGATACAGCAAATGTAGCAAAATATTAACTATGGTTGAAGCTAAGTAATGGGTGTACAGGTGTTAGTTGTAGTCTTAACTTTTCCTGTAGGTTTTTAAGTTTTCAAAATAAAAGGTGGACTTTTAAAAACTAGATTAATAAAATGTGAGTGCCTGAAGGGTCTTCAGAGATCAGCTAATTCAACCCCTCATTTTACAAATGGGGAAACTGAGGTCCAGGGAGTGGAAGAGACTTGTCTGAGGGCACACAGCTGTTTATAGAGCTAGAATTCATGTTAATTATTCTGTCACTGTCACCCATAGCAGAAAGCAGGGGTGTAGAACATTGGGAAGGACTCTGTGGAGTTAAGGGGATACTCCTCAGCAGGGACATGTTGTGGGTCATAGCTACAGCCTGGGAGAAGACTCTGATCTGAAAGAGACCCAAGAGACCCAAGGTTCCACCCAGTTTAACTCCTTTTTCTTTAAATTCTCTCCCTTATTTTCTTCCACTAACCTATTCTCTCCACTACTTTTTTTTTAAAATCTTTTCTGTCCTTGATCATTTTGCTTTCTCCACCAAGGATTAACCTACGATCATGGAAATAATACAAATTTTGGAACCAGACTTAATTTCAAATCCTACCCCAGTCCATTAGCTGTACAACATGAACTATCACTTACCCCCACTAAGGCTTGGTTTTGCCATTTTTTGAAAGTTACTACTTCTACATTGAAAGGACAAGCCATTCAATGAGACTATATGTTCATTCTTAACAAGTGCCAGGCAGAGTTATAGGCACTGGGGACAATAAAATCAGACACTTATTTGAAGGCTGTGTGATAGGCTTGTTCTAAGTACTTTACATGATTGACTCATGTTACTCATTCCCATTTCACAGATGAGAAAACTGAAGCATGGAATTCAGTATCTTGCCCACGAAACTAATAAACGGTGACCTAGTCCCAGAGTCCAGACCCTTAACCACTGTCATTCAGCAAGGAGGAAAATATAGTCAGTGTCTTTACAGGACTTTCATTCCAGAAGAAAGTGAAACATGGAAAACTACAGGGACAAAGGTTGTAATAGACAAATTTTAGTTCCTTTTCCCTTCTTCCAATTACATGGCTAAAAAAAAGAGAATCACTAACATAAAATGAAGAGGAAGATAAGCCATCTGACAACTCTCCTGTTTCAACTCGTTCTCCCGTTACTTACTCAAAGAAAAAGGAAACAAACATTAGTGAGCACTTGTGTTGTGACGGATGCTGTCACTTGTTGTCATGGATTGAATTATGTCCCCCAGAAAATGTGTGTATCAATCTGGCTGGGCCATGATGCTCAGTATTGTGCAGTTGTCTTCCATTTTGTGATTTTAATTTTATGTTAAAGAGGATTAGGGTGGGATTGTAACACCCTTACTAAGGTCACATCCCTGATCTAACGTAAAGGGAGTTTCCCTGGGGTGTGGCCTGCACCACCTTTTATCTTACAAAAGATAAAAGGGAAGCAAGCAGAGAGTTGTGGACCTCATACCACCAAGACAGCAGCGTTAGGAGCAGAGTGTGTCCTTTGGTCCTGAGGTTCCTGCGCTGAGAAGCTCCCAGACCAGGGGAAGACTGGTGACAAGGACCTTCCTCCAGAGCTGACAGAGAAAGCCTTCCCTTGGAGCTGATGCCCTGAATTTGGACTTGTGGCCTACTAGATTGTGAGAGAATAAATTTCTCTTTAAGCCATCCACTTATGGTATTTCTGTTATAGCAGCACTAGATGACCAAGACACTCATCTTAACCCATAGGTCAGTGATTCTCGAACTTCAATGAGCCTCAGAATCACCTGGAGGGCTTGTAAAAACGGTTTGCTGGGCCACACCCAAAATTTCTGATTCAGTAGGTCTAGGGTGAAACTTGAGAATCTGCATTTCTAACAAGTTCCGTAGTAATGCTGATGCTGTTGGTCTGGAGACCACAAGTAGAGAACCACTGTCACTGAACAACCCCATGAAACAGGCATTTTTCCTACCATTATAAAGATGAGCAAACTGAGCATCAGGAAGGCTAGGTGATTCACCAGAAGCTACACCACTAGTGAGTGACAGAGAAAGGACCTGAACCTGGATCTGTCTGACTCCAAAACCTGTGCTATTTCCACTACACTTGAGTTAGGGATTAAACATCCTAGGATTTTCCCATGTCTGTTTCTTTTATTTTAAAATTTCTATTCCTGAAAGGCAAAGTCAAGGTTCTATGTATAAACGCACAATACATTTTCAGTGAGAACAGCTGTTTGTAAAAACTATTTTAAAATGTTCCTGCTCATTTGCCCAGTAATTTCTCTTCTAGAAACCTATTCTATGAGAACGATCCAAAATATAGCCCAAAATACAAAGATGTTCATTAAGTGTTTTAGCAAAAAACAGGAAACCTAAATATCCAATATTAAGGGACTGGTTAAATAGATTATGGTCTATTCAAATGATGAAATATTATGAAGCCATCAAAAAATTTATTTAGAATTTTTCTAACATGACAAAGTGTTTATGATATAATGCTAAATATAACTAAAGCAGGACACAGAACTAAGTTCAGTAGGCTCTCAATGTTATTAAAAATATTGAAAAAAGACTGCAGTTGTTAGTTGCTGTCGAGCTGATTCCAATGCATGGCAACCCCATATATGCAGAGTAGAACTGGTCCATAGGGTTTTTAAGGCTGTGACCTTTTGGAAGCAGACTGCCAGGCCTGTCTTGTGAAGCACCTGTGGGTGGGTTTCAACTGCCAACCTTTTGGCTAGTAGTTGAGTGCTAAACCATTTGCACCACAACTAGAATACTGACAATAGCTGATATTGTTTCTAATAATTTTCTGTACCTTCCACACTTCTACAACGAGCATATAGTGCTTTTAAATCAGAAAACCCATGTACTTTCTTTTTGTTGACTAACTACAACAGATACTTTCAAAATCCATTTGTAGAACTCTGCTATATTTAATTCCTGAATAGTCAGGAAAAATTAAAACTGTGAATTTTAAAGCTAGTACTTAATTCCAGTTATATTTTCCCCAACCCCAGAATGTACATTTTTAAAGGAAAAAAACAAGGGGAAAAATTCAAATGACAATCACTATTATAAATACAAAGAAAATAAAAGACTACAAAGATATCTGTAAAAATGACAACAAGGATTAGTTTTGGTTTGGGAATTTTTAAGTTTTTAAATCTCTTTGTAGCTCAATTTTGATTATATTTTCTACAATGAACATCTATTACTTCTGCAATAAAAGCATCTCTTTGCTGTTTTTCTTTTTAAGAGACAACCACTTAGCAAACTATAGCACATGTATACAATGGAATATCAATAGCCACTAAAAATAATGTTGTAGAAAAGTATTTAATACCATGAAAAAAAGTTTCATACAGTATTAGATGAACATACTATAAAACAGTATGTTCAGAATGATCCCATTGTTTTGTTTAAAAACAAACATTCGACACATACACAGGAAATATACCAAAATATTAACAGTGTTTTACTCTAGGTGGTTGGATTAGAGATTATTTTAATTTCCTTGTTTTATATTTTGGTAATTTTTCCTCTATTGAACATGAACTACTTTTCCAATAGGCCAAAAGAAATTTAAAAAATAAATCTATATTAAACAAAACAGTTGCCTTGTTAAATAAGAGACAAAACAGAGATACAACCAGGAGTATCTTACTGAAAGATCCTCCTTTAAAAGGGCTTTCCATTCCACCCCAGCTCCAATTTTTAAGTCAAGCCAGTCTCTAAGAGTCAAGAGGGCAGTCAGCATCGATCATTCCTACTACTCCAGACTTAATGTTTGAGCAGCATGTCGATTCCAGCAGCAGAGGTCACCCCTCTTGATGGGGAAAACATATACCATCTGGAATCTTTAAACAAAACCCTGGTAGAGAACAGGGTCTAGGAGGAGACATTAACTGCCTTCTAGTGCTACGGATCTGATTACGAGTGAGTATAATTTGCAATCATTTGATTAAGGAAACACACTATTTACATTGCAAATAACACATTCACTAGAGAATTATACTCTCGACCTGGCAGAGACCTCTGAGATCATCTGAAGACAATTTACAGGACACTGTTTCAAGGATGCTATGTAAATACTGACTGGAAACAATAACAGAGATGTCATGCTAGAGAATCTTAAGTAAACAGTTCAAAAGCCTGGCTTCCTGTTTACACAATTTTAAGTCATTTTATTGCTAGCCACAAGGTGATTCAGCATTCTGATTTAATCTAAGAATTTCTTGACTTTACACATAATAAAAGAGACTACAAAGAACAGCTGGAAAGCCAGAAAACATAGGAAGGAACAAAAATAAACACACAGACATGTATCTTCCAGCCCAAACAATGAGAGATGTATGCAACCAGACTATCAGTTCAATCTATTTCCAGATCACTATCCTCACTGTGACAGGCGGCAGAGTTGCGCACAGATGTCAGCACCAAGACTTCCTTTTCTGGGAGTAATCCAAATTCCTGTAGAAAAGCTTCAAGGTCCACAGCAAAAAAATCTTCTCCTAGCTGGTCAGTGACACGAACAAAATTGCCAATCAATTCACCCCCCTTGTAGATCAGCAGGGCAGGAAGGGCATTCCTGGTGAACCGACTACTGGCCCCAATAACTGAGCTCTTTACTCGGCAGAATTTGACCGCTGGGTACTCTGCAGCAAGGCAGATCATGCACCCATTCATGGCTTCAGTCCCTGGAATGCCATCCTCATAAATATGGACCATGATGAGGGTGCTTTTCTGTTCTTTATCAATCATGTCTAAAAACCCTTCTCCACTGGGGATCTCAAAAACCTGCTTGAATTGGGGCCCCTTGTGAAGCTGTTGCCGCATCTCTTCCATTCTCTGTTTCCGGTACTGCTGTAGAAACTCTTCATCATCTTGGTCCTCACTCATCATGGCAAAGTCCTTCAGAGTCATCTGCAGGGAGACCAGCAAGTGAGCAGAAGAGACAAAGAACAGAACACTGTGGGAACAGTTAACATGTACTGTGTGCTTACAATATACGAGGCACTATGCTAAGTGCTTTATATGCATAGCTCATTGAATTCTTATGATAGTCCCATTAGGAAGGCACTTTTATTACCCTCATTTTGAAAATGAGATTCCAAGACTTGTCATTATTTGCACAAGTTCACGCAGGTAATAAATGTATGACTAGGATTCAAACCATGTCTTAAAACGTGGTTTTAAAACCCAGGCTTTTAACTACTACACAATACTGTTTCTCAACTCAAATAGGCAGTATCAAATAATATCACTTCATGAGCCTTTTTCTTTCTTGTCAGTTGCGACAATGGGTTATTTTATCTACTTTGTAGTTGTTTAGAAGACAAGAGGACATTAAGAAACTTTTAAAAAAAACACCCAGAGGCGGGGCCGAGATGACAGAGAAGTCAGATGCTTCCTGTGGTCCCTCTTAAAACAAAGACCCGAAAAAACAAGTGTATCAATTATATATGACAATCTAGGAGCCCTGAACATCAAAGGCAAAGTTGAGGATTCTGACTGAGTGGCAGAGGGAGGGAGAGACGGTTTGGAAGCATCGAGGAGTTGCCAGACCTGACCTGGCAGGAAGCGGCACCCTGCAAGGCCAGATTGGCTGGTGTGCGCAGATGGGCAAGCAGTGGCACTTGGGACATGTTTTCCACATCGGGAGAGACCGAACAGCAGAGAGTCTACTCAAGCCTCTAGAACCAGTGAAAAGCAGCACTCAATCAGCAAAAGATAAGTACATGCATCTAACCCACCACGCAGATCAAAAAACATACCGTTTGAGAAGAGCCTCTCTCCCATTTACCTGCCTCCTCCCCGCTCTGCACTGGGTCTTGGGCCAGCTTCAGCAATTGCCGTGTCCCCCAGGCCAGAAGTAGGGCCCATCACACACCCTGAGCCATTCTCCCAGCCTTGGAGAGGGAAAAAATTAACAAACAGGGAAAAAATAATCTACCCACTCCCCTAAGCCGGGAACTCAGGGCAGGCTCAGTTCTTTTGCCTAGACACAGGCATGAGGCGGTCCATGGATTTTGAATGCCTTTCACCCGTGCATAGACCTGTGTGGGCCCATTTCAATAGCGTATGCCCTCATTAGCACAATACTACAGGGTATATAACTGAAGCCTAACTTCAACTGTATCAGCTATACGGTCAAGTGGCAGGTTCGTGACATTTGATACTACTCTGCCCATTAAGCAGGGTCCTCAACTACCCACATCAGGGGCCTGAGGTCTGGTGGCTCCACCCATGCCACCTAGCCACCCGCAACAGGGGTCCAGGAATAAGTGGTGCCTCCCAGTCCTTACATCCAACAGCACTGGGTGCCCATAGTCCGGCTGGAAAACGCACCCAACTATGTGCTCTAGGGAACAGGGACGCACTTTCCTCCCAGACACTCACAGGCAGCCATCAGCCCCCTGCCTTGCTCAGCGCATGATCCCCTACTGCAGCCAGATACCTGTGCCTACACCAATCACCCCTGCCCATCTAGGACTGTAGGTGAGAACGTGCACCACACACTTGGTGACCAACTACCTAGACACCTGAGCTAAATCTATACAAGAAAAGTAAATGGAGTCCTACGCTCACATACCTAGTAACAGATCTAACCACCTGGCGACAGGATGTTAGAACTTCAAAGGCGCCAATAATCAAACTAGCTCACACGAGCAGCCTATTTGGGCATATCAAAACAAAACAAAATAAACTAGGACAAAGTAAGCAAACATAAAATAAATAAATATAATAACTTATTGATGGCTCGGAGACAGCAGTCAGTATCAAATCACATAAAGAGACAGACCATGATGGCTTCAACAAGCTCCCAAAACAAAGAATCAAGAAATCTTCCAGAAGAAGAGAACTTCTTGGAATTACCGGAGGTAGAATATAAAAGATTAACGTACAGAACTCTGCAGGAGATCAGGCAAAATGCAGAACAAGCCAAGGAACACACAGACAAAGCAACAGAGGAACTTAAGAAGATTACGGAAAAGTATAAAGACAAATTTAACAGGCTGCACGAATCCACAGAGAGACAGCAAACAGAAATTCAGAAGATTAACAATAAAATTTCAGAATTAGACAACTCAACAGAAAGTCACAGGAGCAGAACTGAGGCAATGAAAGTCAGAATTAGTGAGACTGAAGATAAAGTGCTTGACACCAACTTATTTGAGGAAAAATATAAGAATTTTAAAAAATGAAGAAACCATAAGAATCATGTGAGACTCTATCAAGAGGAATAACCTACGAGTGACTGGAATACCAGAACAGGGGGGATAACAGAAAATACAGAGAGAATTGTTGAAGATTTGTTGGCAGAAAACTTCCCTGGTATCTATCCAAGATGCTCATCAAACCCCACACAAAGTGGATACCAAAAGAAAGTCACCAAGACATATTATAATCAAACTTGCCAAAACCAAAGATAAAGAGAGAATTTTAAGAGTGGCTAGGGATAAGTGAAAAGTCATCTACAAAGGAGAGTCAGTAAGAC